GGAGAAAGGAAGGAAAGAAGGAAGGAAGGAAGGAAGGAAGGAAGGAAGGAAGGTAGGTGCTCGTGGCCTCATGTCAAGACAGGACGGGGATCTTCCCACCAGGTCTTCTGCTTCACTCAACAGCAGTGGCTACTCTAGCTCCACATCTTGCTCCCTAGGCCCGCGGTCAGCCAGGGAGCTCTCTCTCTCGGCGTAGAGGCCTTGTGAGGTGGGGCTTGTTGGTAGCCCTCACCAGCCTCCCGATAGCCCTCTGCTTGGGAAGCTAGGGTTGTGCCCGTGGCTGATGCCCCCACCTCTGTCCCGGCAGAAGACACCCACCCACTGGTTTGGCTTCACTCTCTTGCCTTGAGGCTTCGGGGTGAACAGAGCCCTGCTTCTCCAAAAGGAAAGGGTCCAGAGCTTGGTTGGCACCACAGACATTGGCCACGTTGGACCTTCCGAGTGCAAACAGGGCAGTCCTGGAACGAGCTGGAATTTTCAGCGTGTATACATTACTGAAACAGCAGCGTCTACATTGGCTTGGGCATGTTGTGAGAATAGCTGATGGTTGGAATCCAAAGGATCTCCTATATGGAGAATTAGTGCAGGAAAATCGCCCCAGAGGGAGACCACAGCTGCGATCCAAGGAGATCTGCAAGCGGGATCTGAAGGCCTTAGGAATGGACCTCAACAGATGGGAAACCCTGACATCTGAGCGTTCAGCCTGGAGGCAGGCGGTACATCACGGCCTCTCCCAATTTGAAGAGACCCTCGTCCAGCAGGCTGAGGCCAAGAGGCCGTCCCGAAACCAGCAAAACCAGGGATCTGGACAGGGGACAGACTGTATTTGTCTTCATTGTGGAAGGGATGGTCACTCTCGAATTGGCCTTCTCAGCCACACCAAACGCTGTTCCAAGTCCTCCATACAGAGCATGTTATCATCGTCTCTCAAGATGGAAGGAGACCTTATTACCTTTTGAGTGTCTTCATTTCATGAAAACATGTCCTGCTCTGCAAGATGCAGCCGCCAGCCAAAGGGGCTGAAGGAGATGGTGGCTTTTAGCATTTGAGACAAAAGAAGGAATAAAACATAATCTAAAACCAGGAACCAACCTTTCCACTTGGAGGATGCATGAGGACTCCTGTGGTATTTTGGAAGCTGCATTTTGTACCTACAGATATGGAAGAAAGAAACATCTTTAAGACGAAAAGTAGAACCCTAACATCCCAGCAAAGAGGTAAAAGGAGCCATAGACTTGGAAGTAACACTCGAATTTTTAAAAGCCCACTAACTGGTGGTCGTCTGTATCAGGGATAAAGCACCATCATCTTCAGAGGATAGACAGTCTGGGCTCTAGTCCATGAAGCTGAGAGCCACAGTAAAGTTTGTTCGTCTTTCAAGTGCCACAGGAAACGTCATTTCCGGAAAAGGTGTGCCTACGGGCTGTCCTGAGCTGGTGGCTTTATCCCACCCCACCGGAGCAAGCAAGCCTTGACTGGTCCCCATCGTCGGAGGCGGATTTCTTGTTTGCCATTTACAGGGCAGAAGCAGAGGAGGAGGAAAGGCCCTGTGAACGGGGGGGGTGGGGTTTCCTCCCTTTGGGTTGCTGGCGGCTTTCAAACCCTGATGAGGACAAGCCCGAGGGAAGCTGGGCTGCATGGTGGGCCCCCTCCCTGGCTCTGAGGTAGGGAGAGGCCTTACCTTCTAGAGCAGGTGGACACGGTGGCCTTCCTGCTTCTAGTCCCAGCAGCAGCAGCAGCAGCAGCAGCTGGTCCCCGTCCCCCCTCCCCACCCCTGGTGGCTTGCTGGTGGCAAGCTGAAGTTGGCTTCTGCTCCCTTCCCTGCTCTGCTCGGGTCTGTGTGTGTGTTCTTTGTCTCGTGTCTGGCCTCGAGGCGTGCCTGGCTGCTGCTTCAGTGCCACTGGCTGGGCTGTGCGCTGGCCCCTGGATTTTGGGGGCGGATTGGTCTCTGCTCCGTCCTCCTCCTTGCTCTGCCTGTGGGACTGTTTGTGTCTTGGGGGGGGGAGAGGCACCAGCAGTGGGGGAGACCCCCCCAACAGCCCACTTCTCCCTTCTGGTGGGGCCAGTCCCAGCCGGGGGTCTGTCCGGTGCAGTGGGGCTCGACCTTCAGAGTGTGGACAGCCTTGGGCCAGAAGGGAGACTCGGATCCTCCCTCATTGTTGGCCCCAGGCCGACGCTGGCAGAGGTTTTAGGCCAGCCCATGGCTCGCCCACTGCCTGGAACGAGCAGCATTTTACTTTTACGTAGTGTTGAAAGTGATAATGTCCCATCCCCCCATCTTACCCCCCCCCCCCGAGAAGACAGGAGGGCTGAGGGCTGTCCTGCCCTCCGTGGCTTTGTCTTGGTCCAGGGAGAGCTCCTTTGTGAGTAGCTGGGCCGTTTGGGGTCTGTTTCCTTTGCCCTTCTCCTCCCTGCCGATCCCCTGTGCCTTTTTTTATTAATCTAGGTGACAGATTTCTTTCACTCAAGCCCTGGCTGGGCCCAAGGGAGTGGGGCTGACCAGACCCTCCTCCCTGGCCTGGCTGTTTCTGGGCTGTGTCTTTTCTTGCCTTGGCGAGGGCTGCTGGTCGGCTGCCTGGAGGTTGGCTCGCTGGGCTGCCTCCTGGGTGGGGTGGGGTGCCGTCGAGAACCGTTGGCAGAGGGTCCCTTCCATGGGGAGGGTGGGGCAGGTAGGCAGGGTGCCAGCCCAGGGGGGGGGAGAAGCGGAGGATTCCTCCCCCGAATGCCGTGGGTGGCCTTGAAGGAGGGCTGCGCCGGAGGGCGGAGAGCTGCCTGTGCCTCTCCGACACCCCCCCCCAAAGGAAGCTCCTGTCTGCCACCTTCGCTGTCCGTATTCCGTCCCCTGAAGGTGAGGCTGCTTTTTCTGCCCATGGCATTAAAGTGGCAGGAGCAGCAACTCCTAGCATTCCTCTGGCTTCTCGTGTCTTCTGTGGGGCGGGGGGGGCGGTGGCCAGTGGGGAGGAGAGGACTTGCCTTCTGCCTTGGTCTCTTCTTCCTTTCGGGCGGAGGAGGCACTCGCCCACCTGCCCGCCCGCCCATGCTCTCAGCCTCCTATTCCTGGTGGGCTTCCTTTGACCTGGGCTGGGGTGGGAAGAAGGGGGACTTCTGGCTGCACTTACCCCTCAGCCCCTTGCTTCTGGAGGGGGGGGGGCGGTCCGGCCAGAGGCTGGACCGCTCCTTGGGCTGTATCTTTTCTTGCCTTGGCGAGGGCTGCCGCCCAGCTGCCACCCCCAGGGAGGCCTGTGACCGGCGGCTCTTCTGTTCTCTTCTAGTTGCCCCCGACACCATCAACAACCACGTGAAGACGTGTCGTGAGGAGCAGAAGAACCTCCACTTCTTTGCTCCGGAATATGGCGGTATGGAATGGGTGGGGAGGGGGTTGGAGAGCTGTTCCCCCCGCCCCTCCTGACGGCATCCTCACTTTGCTGGGGACTGGGTGACTCCAGCCTCTGGTGCTGAGCACGATGGCTTTGTCTTCCAGAAGTGGTTCACGTCACGACAGCGGTGGACATCTACTCGTTTGGGATGTGTGCGCTGGAGGTGAGGGTTGAGGGAGGGCTGGGCTAGGATGGGAGACACACACACACACACACATCCTCCCATTCTCACTCACGCGGAGGCTTGGAGGTCACGCTCTGGGCCACTCTGCCCCCTTGGAGGAGGACTGCTCCACGCGACGGTCCCAGGAGGGGGCGGGGAGATGGAAGGCCCTTCTTGTCAAGCTCTCAGTGGCCACAGGAGAGCTGCAGCCGGCGGATAGCCACCCGCAGCACACACCGCCTACCATCAGGCAGACCTTCTTAAGGTTTAGAGTTGGAGGGGTGGTGCCTGCCAGGGAGCACGGCTGTTCTGGCGCACGGACATGGATGTTGCGAAGCGGCATGAAGATTTGCCCAAGGGGAACTGCGTCCGTGGCCATGTGAGTGCCTGCCTTGGAAAACCAGGGATGCCCACGGGACCTCTTGGCCCTGCTTTGTCTTCTTCCGCAGATGGCAGTGCTGGAGATCCAGGGCAATGGGGAGTCCTCCTACGTTCCCCAGGAAGCCATTAACAACGCCATTCAGTTGCTGGAGGACCCCCTGCAGCGGGTAAGGCTCCCTTGTCCCCACGGCCAGGGAGGGGAAGGGAAGAGAAGCGGGGAAGCGAGTGGCATACGTGCCTTGCACAAGTTGAAGGGGCAGATGATGTGAGCAGAGGGCAGCGTGCGTACGCAGGCTCTCCTGCCTTGTGCACCACCACCACCCCCTTGCTTTTGAGGCACTTCTTTGCTTTGGCTGGACTAGATTTCCTGCTGGCTGATCATGGCACCTTCCCAAAATTGCAACACGACTCACACAACAACCACAGTATGGTTGACTTTGTAAATAGGTGAATGCCGAAAGAGATCTGTTTGGAAACAGCCTAAGGCCAGAATCCTCTTGGTGCTCGCTGAAGGTCACTTGGCGCTGGCCGTGGGCGCCTCTCCAGCTTCGCTGCGGCCGTTTTCTCAGGACGAGACAAGGCCTTGCCTTCTGAGAGCCAGCACCAGGGAGCTTCCGTGGCCTTGGTTAGCTGGAGGGCGTGGGCTTTCGCTGCTCCCTGGGGGCTGGTGGACAATTGGGCCTCCTCCTTCTTCATCCCAGCCACCCTCCCTCTCTCTCTCTCTCTCTCTCTTTGTACCCCCCAACCCCAGGAGTTCATTCAGAAGTGCCTGGAACCCCAGCCCGGCAGGCGACCCACGGCCCGGGAGCTCCTCTTCCATCAGGCCCTCTTTGAAGTCCCTTCCTTAAAGCTTCTGGCTGCTCATTGCATCGTGGGCCATCAGCGTGAGTATCACCAGTGGAGGGAGAGAGAGAGCGTGTGTGTGCACGCACGCGCACTGCAGGGTCTCTCACTCTCTCTTATTTGCAGCCAGTCTTCTCCCACCTCCTGCCTTGCGCTCACCCTCTTGCTCCGTAGCTAGACCAGCACCACCTCAGACACCAGGATGGAAAAAGAGACACAAGGAGTTGTGAGCCGAGCAAGGAGTGCCGGAGCCTTTCCTGACCCCAGCGAGAGGCCTGGCGTGGGTCCAGAGGAGTGTGTGCAGAGTTGTGGGTGGTACCCCACCCAAACACCCAGGGCCAGAAAATACAAAGGGGAATAAAAGGACAGTCGTTTCCAGAGGAGGAATTCTGGCCCAGCCCTCTAGGCAGCTTCAGGCAGCAGAAACAGCCAAGAGACTTGTGCCAGAAGAAAATCTGGTTGGGTTTCTTGGGACTGTTCTTTTCTCTGTGTGTTTTGTTCCGAGGGACAACAACCGACATGGCAGATAGACAGCCTTTGGGGCCGTTGTGTGCCCCCGTGCAGGGTGTACAACACCTGTGAAGTGACTTTGTGGGACTTGAGTGTCCTGTCCTGATTTTTGAGGATGTGAAGATGCCTCGGCCGGGCCCTCCCAGTTCTAGAGCTGTGAGAAGAGAAAATAAATGGACTGCTTCTCTTGCAGGCATCGTAACTCTGTCCCTCTGTGCTTGACAAGTTAATGATGCAGGCGACACGTTGCGTCTCTCCCCCCCCCCCGCCGCAAGCTAGCCGGGTACTCATTGAACCGACCCCGAAAGGGTAGAAGGCTGAGTCTACCTTGAGCCGGCTGCCTGGGATTGAACCTCCAGGTTGTGAGCACAGTCTGGGCTGCAGAACCGGGAGCTTAACGACGAGGCTCCTAGAGGTTTCTTGACTGCCCCCAGTGTGGAAGCTGCTGCCGGACAGAGCTAGCCCGTTCACGGAGTGGCACGTGGCCCTGCTGGGATTTCCTGGGTAGTCCCGACCAGTCCTGCTCCGTCAGGCACTGGATTGGGTTTTAGCCCATAGACCCAGTTTGGGGAGAGGCTGTTGGCCTCCTTTTCTCCTCCCAGCTCAGAACCTCCCTGATTTGCTGCTGTTGCTGCAGTGATGCACCCTGCAAGCCATTGGCAGGCAGGGGTGCTGGGCGGGGGATGTCTCTGGACCACTTAAATGGTGTCGGTCGCAGTATGGGAGCCACCCTCCTTCCCGGATCTGGTGTGTTTGGTCTTGGGAGGGAGGAAACAAAGGCGTGAGGAGGGCCCCATCTCTCTTGGCAAGACGTTGGTTAAGGCATCGGCCCTGCCCCCCACCCCTTTCAGGAAGTGCCTGAATGGCTCTTGGACGCCATGCTTTTTATCTCATGACAGATATGATTCCGGAGAACGCGCTGGAGGAAATGACAAAGAACCTGGACATGAGCGCCGTGCTGGCCGAGATCCACCACGCTGACCGCGAGGGTGTCCGCATGATGTGAGGCTCTTTTGGGGGCTGGGAGCGGTGGCGATTCGCACCCATTCCCCTTGTCCTTTTGCAGGGGGTGGGGTGAGGAGGTCCCTTGGGCGGGTCTCTCTGACCCGGTGTTTGCTTCTTTCCAGCTTCTCCCAGTCTCCAGCGCTGGAGCTGGACAAGTTCCTGGAGGATGTGAGGTAAGTCCCTCCCTGGGTGAGAGGGAAGATGTGGCCAGGAACCTCGTGTGTGAGGAGACATCATCGCCTGACTTCCCTCCCTACCTCCCTCCCTCCCCTCCCAGGAATGGCATCTACCCCCTCACTGCCTTCGGCCTGCCCAGACCTCAGCAGCCGCAGCAAGAGGTGGTGAAATCCCCCATTGCACCCCCCTCGGTTAAGACGCCGACGCCAGAGCCGGCGGAAGTGGAGACACGCAAAGTGAGTGGCCGACTCCTGGCTCCAGAGAAGGGGTGTGTGTGCCCCCCCCCACTCCCAGCCCCATTGCCTTGGCGTCTGCTCACTGGCCCCCTTCCCCTCCTTTGCCTTCAGGTGGTGTTGATGCAGTGCAACATTGAGTCCGTAGAGGAGGGGGTGAAGCATCATGTACGTATGCCCGGTTCGGGCTCTTGTCCATGGGTGGCGGGTGGCGGGCACACACACAGAGGGAGGGGCCTTGGGCTTTCCCTCTCGGATTCTCTCTCTCTCTCTCTCTGAGTCCCTCTCCGTTTGCTTGGCCAGTTGACGTTGCTGCTGAAACTGGAAGACAAGCTGACCCGGAACTTGAGCTGTGACCTGCTGCCCAGTAAGTCCCTGCCTGACCCCCAGTCGCCACTTCCCTTGCCTGGTAGGCTGCGAGGGGCTGACGGCAGGCTCACCGCCCTCCCTTTCCTGCCTCCTGCAGGTGACAATATCCAGGAGCTGGCGGCTGAACTGGTCCAGCTGGGATTCATCAGCGAGGTAAGGCACCTGGAAGAGGCAGGCAGGCAGGCAGGCAGGCCGGATGGCCGGCCCCTTTCCCCCTGTGGCCAGAGAGGGCGGAGGGGCCGCCCTCTCCTCCTCCTCCTTCGCCTCACCTTGAGTCCCTCTCCGTTTGCTTGGCCAGTTGACGTTGCTGCTGAAACTGGAAGACAAGCTGAACCGGCACTTGAGCTGTGACCTGCTGCCCAGTAAGTCCCTGCCTGACCCCCAGTCGCCACTTCCCTTGCCTGGTAGGCTGCGAGGGGCTGACGGCAGGCTCACCGCCCTCCCTTTCCTGCCTCCTGCAGGTGACAATATCCAGGAGCTGGCGGCTGAACTGGTCCAGCTGGGATTCATCAGCGAGGTAAGGCACCTGGAAGAGGCAGGCAGGCAGGCAGGCCGGATGGCCGGCCCCTTTCCCCCTGTGGCCAGAGAGGGCGGAGGGGCCGCCCTCTCCTCCTCCTCCTTCGCCTCACCTGGCCCTCTTTCTCCTCGCAGGCTGATCAGAGTCGGCTTAGCTGCTTACTTGAAGAGGCGTTCAACAAGTTTGTCTACTCGCGGAATGGAGGGATGGCGACCGTCACTGTATCGACCTAAGGCCCCCTTGCCAGCCAGCGTTGCCCCCCGCCTTCCTCCCTCGGAGGAGAGGGCTGCCCAGAAGGCCTTCTTCTGCCGCCGTTGCTGCGCCTGCTCCGCCACCGCCGTTGCTCTTTTGGGTGGGCCCCCTGCACGTGTGGTTGCTGGAGGGCCCCGCAGACAATCGCTGCCGCTGTCGGGGGGAAAGAAGGCACAGCCGGTGGGGCAGGAAGGGGGCTGTGTGCCTTGTCAGTATTATTTCCCCGGGCCAGTGGCCCCCCCCCCCCCCAGCTCATGCATGGAGTTTTCTTTGGCTTGAATTGTACAGAGGTTTTTTTTTGCACAGCACAGAGATGTCTGTCTTGTTATTTAAGGAGGGAGGGAGGGCGGGAGGGGCTCATTCCCACCCCACCGTTTCTTGGCCTCTCCTTATGCCCACCATCTCCACCACTAAGGTCACTCTGCCCACCTCAGCCCCACATGCACACCTCCTTTGTGGCACGCTTTGCACCACCGAGCGGCGAGGCTCCCTTGGGGCCCCAGCGTAGGCTGGCAGGCAGACAGGTGAGCGAGCGATCGAGCGAGCAGGCGGACGGGCTCCCAGTGCAGTAGGCAGGAGGGGCCACCAGGATGGAGGGGTAGCCATGGAGTTTTGTGTGTGTGTGCGTGTGCAAAAGTGAGAAACCGCCTCTTCTCTGGTATGTGGGGCTGGGCCATGAAAGAGGCCTCCCCTTTCCTGGGCCATGGACGCTCCATGTGTTGTTTCTGTTCCTATTTTTAATAAACCATTTTGTAAATAAGCAGCTGCAGACCTTCTGTGCCTGGTGTGGCCTTGCCTGGAATTGGGGCTTTGTGTGTGTGTGTGT